GGGGGGGGTAGGAGGTCTATGGGAAATCTTTGTACCTCCTTCTCAATTTTACTATTAAAAAAAATAAAGTCTATTTTTTAAAAAGAAGGTGGAGAGAAGACGGGCAGGGGTGATAACAGGCAGGGGTGACACCACGGTTTCTGCTGGCTGCCGGCTCCGCCTCGGCTGTGGGCCCAGCTCCCCTCTCCTATGCCGGGTGGTGGCGGGGAGTCGGGGGTTGGTCCCCAGGCGGGGCCCCACTGTGTCCAGCTCGGGTAGTGACCTGTGACCCTGCGCTGCTCCCGGCAGGTGGCGTGGAGGCCTTGATGGTCCGGCTGGTGAATGGCTCGGGCCCACACCAGGGCCGCGTGGAGGTGTATCACGAGCGGCGCTGGGGCACCGTGTGCGATGACGGCTGGGACAAGAAGGACGGAGACGTGGTGTGCCGCATGCTGGGCTTCCCCAGCGCTGAGGACGTGCACCGGACGGCTCAGTTCGGACAAGGTAGGGCACCTGGAGGAGGAGGACGTGGGGCGAGGGTCCCGGAGGCCTAGGCCTGCCCCCCCCGTCCAGCATCCCCTCGACAGCAGTCCTGCCAGTGTCAGCCGGGCCCTGCCTGGGTCCTTCCCGCCATGACCACGGGATGCTCACGGCCCACGGGCGAGCTGGTCTGTCTTCAGACAGTTCTGCTTATTCGAACATTCTTCCTTCCCTTGAATTTGACTCCCTTTCTTTTTTGATCTCCTACTGGCCCCCGTTTTCAGCCCTGCATCTCAGGGCTCTTATCTAACCCCACGCCCATTTGTCCCGATTACATTTTTGTTACTATTTCGTGCTTAGATAGCACTGCCTGTGTGCCAGGCTCGGTTCTAAACATGTTAAAAATATTCACTCATGTAATCCTTACCACACTAGGAAGCAGGTACAGCTATTATCCCTATATTCCATATGTGGAAACGGTGGCACAGAGAGGCTAGATAACTTGTCCAAGGCCACACAGCTAGCAAATGGCAGAGCCCAGGTTCAGACCCAAGCAGGTAGCTCGGGAGTCCGTTCTCTTATCCACTCTGCTGGCTGTCCCTGCTCCTCTTTGAGTCTTTTCTTCACATGAAGATCTCCAAACACTTCATCTCATCCTCAGGGGAAAAGATTTTGGCAGTCTTCACCATTTTCATTGCTTTCCTTTGACAGGCTTAGACGGTACAGGAGAGTTTGAGGGAGAGGTGCAGACCCTTCCTGGGCAGACGGCTGATTTGAACCATCTGTCCCTTTCCTATTGCAAAGAGGTTGACTCTACCCCAGCTCCAGTCTCTATCCACAGCACTGTGTCTTCCCCTCAGGCTAGTTCTCTGTATTAGTCTGCTCAGCTGCTGTAACAAATACCACAGACTGTAGGACTTAAACTGTAGACATTTATTTTCTCACAGTTCTAAAGGCTAGAAGTCCAAGGTCAGGGTGTTGGCAGGTCTGGTTTCTCCTGAGGCCTCTCTCCTTGGCTTGTAGAGGGACACCTTCCCCCTGTGTCCTCACGTGGTCCTCCCTCTGTGTGGGTCTGTGTCTCTTCCTCTTAGAAGGACACCAGTCATATTGGATTAGGGCCCCTCTAATGACCTCATTTATCCTTAAGCACCTTTTTAAAGGCCCTGGGTCCAAAGACAAGCACATTCTGAGGTCCTGGGAGTTAGGACTTCCCCATAGGAATTTTGGAGGGACACAATTCAGCCCATAACAATTCAGCTACACACACAGAACACCACACATTCACACTCAAACATAAATACTCACCGTCACAAATGCTTTGTCCTTCATCAGACCTCGAACTCAGAGAAACCTGTGTTGACTCACAACTAAAACAGTGGTCCCACCTGCTTGAAGACAATGCTCCCTGCACCTGTATAATAATGTGCTGCGCCCGACTGTGTGATCTCGTTGCCCCTCCACCCTGGATCTTGGTGTCCCATCTATACCTTAAAGGGCCTTACAGACTCTGTGATGTGCCTTCTAGCTTGGGCACCTGGAATGTGAAATACTTCTGCTCAGCTGTCACGAGGACCTGCATTCTGGCAGGTGCGGGGAGGGATTTGCACTGACCCACTCACACTCAGTTTGCCAGGTCCCCTGGTGACCTGTGGAGGGACCGCTGGCCCCGCTATGGAGGCTACTTGTGTCATGGAGCGTTTGCTGTCTTACCTGAGACCATGGCGGCCCAGCCCACTGTGCTAAATGGTAAAGGGCCTCATGGTGAGAGGAGGGGCATCCTTTTCAGATGGGGACATAGAGCCAGGTCACATCCCAACTGGCCATGGAACCCTCCGCTCCCCACAGCTGCCTTTCTTCTTGCACCCACTTTGGAGTGCCACAATCCTGGCTCAGAATCTTGTCCCCTAAACCTCAGTCACTGTTGCAGACTGAATGTTTGTGTCGCCTGCCCCCCAAAATTCATATGTTGGAATCTTCAGCCCCAATGTGATGGTATCAGAAGGTGGGGCCTTTAGGGGGTGATCAGGTCATGAGCAGAGCCCTCGTAATGGGACTGGTGCCCTTATAAAAGGGACCTCAGAGAGCTCCCTCCTGTTTCCGTGAGGACGTACAGTAGCCTACAAGCCGGAAGAGGGCCCTCCCCTAGAACCAGAACACGCAGGCACCCTGATCTTGGACTTGAAGCCTCCAGAACAGTGAGAAATAAATGTCTGTTGTTTAGAAGCCACCCAGTCTGAGCAGACAAGACAATCACACTCACTGAAGTGACTCCTGTGAAATGTGTTGTGACAGCTGGCGGAGAGATTGACCCCAGCGTCCTGGCCTCTCAACTTCAAGGCCAGCGCGTGGGGAGTTCAAAGGGTCCAGCTCCACGGAGGGCAGCCCACTCGGGGAGAGCGCTTCCCTCCCATCTAAAGCTCTGTGCTGGGTCTCAGCCTGTTTTCTTCAAGGAAAACTGCCATTTCTGTTTGCATGAGGAACAGAAACAGTGGGAACGGTCCTCGTTTTCCTTTTTTGGCTCCAGTGAGGGCTTCTCCCTAATAAGTGGAAGTAAACCTTTGGAGGGGAAAAATCATAAACTCTTTTAGTGAAGCCACATTAGGTCATTTGAATGTCATGGGCAGGGTTAGCCTAAAACTCTTTCATCCTGCCTTGATTTTTGTATTGTATGGTGTGAAGGTAAGCTCTAACAATTGCCACCGGAATTTTTTTTTTTTGGCCACACTGCATGGCTTGTGGGATCTTAGTTCCCCGACCAGGGATCGAACCCGGGTCCATGGCAGCGAAAGTGCTGAGTCCTAACCACTGGACTGCTAGGGAATTCCCACCACTCAAGTCTTCAAACCAGTCAGTGGGAAGCCAGACTCGCTTCCACATCAGCATCAAATTTGCACCGTACTTTTCCATCATCATCCAATAACTTAGGTCACGTGATATTCGAGACCTAAGACCCGTGATATTCGAGACCTGGACAGGTAGGCAGGCCAGGTGTCACTCATGGGGGCACAGAGGGAAATGGGGGCCGGGGAAGGGATGGGGCTTGCCTGGCACCCATCCTCCTAGCCTGGCTGCAGTCCCTTCTTCCCACAGCAGCTTCTGGCACTTTCCATGGGCAGGCACTAGGCTCAGCACCGGGGCACAGAGTTGAGTCAACCTAGTCTCTGACCTCAGCACATTCAGTTTAGAGGGGGAGGCAGACATGTTCACAGATTCTAAACTGTTGGAAGGGCTATCCTGCCCTAGCAGCTGGGGGCAGAGGGAAGGGAAGCCCCCCTCTCCTGGCAGCTGGCGGGGTTTGCATCAGGTCCCAACGGCCCTCTGACCACAGCCTCGCGTCCTGCAGGTGCCCCGATTCCCAATCCCAGTCTGCTCACCCTCAGCCTCATGGAGTCTCCCAAGCCTCCGGCCCCACTCTCCATCCACTCTTGTTTCTCTTCCGGCTGTGCTTCCTGCCCTGCCAGCCAGGACTGCAGACTCGTCCCTTCTTGCACCCTCACCCACTCCTGTGTCCCTTATCTGCTGGGTCCCTGAGTCATTACAGATGCTACCAGTGTCAATGTCTCTGGTCCCTTGACTCTGTCCCCTCCTCTCTGTTGCCCCTGCTCTTGCCTTAGGAGCTCGGGCTGGGTAGAGCAGTGGCTAGGAGCTCAGTCTCTGGGTCAAAGCCAACCTAGCATCCCATATGTGCCACTTACTAGCTGGTGACCTGGAGCAGATTTCTTAACCTCTCCAGGCTTCAGTCCCTCCACTTTTGCAGAATGATTGCAAACTCGAAGTGAGATCACATACGGTGAGCAGTTAGCACAGTGCAGGCCCTGCGGTGCACATTTATTTGCTGCTTGTTGGGTGGAGATGGGGGCGTCCTCCATGAGCTGCTTCCCTCGCTGCTGCCCCCTGTCCCCCTCCTGGCTGCCAGGGACCTTTCTAAAATGCGCTCCTGCCTCTGTCACTCCCCTGCCCGATGCTCAGTGGGTCTTTCCTGCTCTCAGGATCAAATTTGGTTTCCTTAGCTTAGTGCCCAAGGCCAGTCCTCACACACCTCCCGCCTCTGGCGGCTCATCCCTTAGCTGCGTCCGCCCACGTGTGGCCTCTGAGCGCACACAGCTGTTTCCCGGCTCCGTATCCCCTCAAATGCTGTTCCTTGGGTCTGGAATGCCTTTCCCTCCTCTTCACCTAGCTAATTCCTCCTCAGCTTTTAAAGTCAGCTCAATGATCACCTCCTGAGCCGCTCCACCCCAGCCCGTGATGTAGATACCCACCCTGCTCCCGTGGCATCTTCTGTGCGTACCTCTCACACGCTCCTGATCGCTGGGGTATGTGGGAACACCTTGAGGGCAGAGCTCCAAATCCCAGGACTGTGCCTGGGATGTGATAGGTACTGGATAAATGTGGGAGGGAGGAACGAGGGACAGGAGGAGGGGGCCAGGGAAGAAGGAAGGAAGGAACTTCTGTGCCTGCCAAACCTGCGTCCTCCCCAGAGCCATACAAGAAACCGCCACACCCTGGCAGTGCTCTCTGTGGTCTGGCACCATAAAAGTTTTCCTGGACAGGGCTCAATAATTGAATTATCAGTTTCCCTGGGAAAAAAGCAAGGAAAGACCCAAATGAGAACGACTTGGAGATTTTTTTTTTTCAGTTTTAAACTGGTCCAAGAGCTGTTGGAGAGGGAATGAGTGCAGATCAGGAAGATGGAGAGTGATGGCTGGAGCAAGGGTCCAGGAGGGGATGGAGGGCGTGAGACCACCACAGCACTGCTGGGAAATTAGTCCTGGGCCCGCCAAGAAAATCTTTCTTTGAGACAGAGAGACAGACAAAAGGAGCTGAGGATGGGTACAAATGCATACAGATTTGTAGGTGGGAGTGGGTGGACAGAATTGGGAGTGTTCTCTTTTAATTATATTATTAGCATTTCTTTGCCCTTTTTTTCTAAGATAAAATTCAAATACTGGGACGTGGCTTAGTGCAAGGGTCAGCAAACATTAAAGGGCCAGGGAGTAAATATTTTGGGCTTTCTGGGCCAGATG